TATTTTACAAGTTTTTGCCTTAGGGTTGGTGTGCTCATCAGAAGGAGTGAACAAGAGAGAGACAGTGAGAGGGAAAGTGAGAACTCACCCGCCTGTGGGGATGGGCATGTCACATTCCGTTCTCCTCCGCTCCCCTCCCAGGATCTTGGGCATGCACACACATGTGCCTGGCTTGAGTTTCAAGCCACGAGGTCTGGGACTCCAATCATGTGGGAGTTCAGTGACGTAACTGCTATGCCACCTACTGGCCCCAGTCAGCATGTTTTTCAAGCCACTGGGTCTCGGATTTGAACTGTGCAGTCAGCCATGTGGGATTGAGCCGCCTCAACCGCTATACCATTGGCTGGCCCTGTTTTTTTGTTTTGTATGAGAACAGATGAAGTTAAAAATTTTCTGGAGTATATACATAGTTATACCTATTATTAAAGATTTCAGTTTTTACTTTTTGGCCAGAGGGTGTGCACAGGCCACAGTGAGACAGAGAGAGGGAGAGCACCCCACTCCGTGGGACATAGTCACATCACAGTCCCTTCTCCGTTTTTCTCTCCCTTTGGGACTTTGGGCATGCACATGTATGCATCTGACATGTTTTTTAAGTCACCAGGGCAGGTGGTCAGTCCTGTAAGATCCAGTTCCCTTAACCACTAGGCCATAAAGCTGGTCCAAACATTTCAGTTTTGATGTCCTCTTTGTCCCAAGAATTATTTGCGAGAATGTTAGCAAGTAGGTTTCTTATAGGGATGCTAGTATAAGGTTTTGATTTTTATAGTTCTGTTACATTTTCACATTATGGTCAGATAATATGGCCCCTAAAAGTTTTACTTTTTTGAAATTTCTTTTCTTTTTTTGGAGAGGTTTTTGCTATAGGGCGCGTGCGCTCGCCAGACAGACAGAGAGAGACAGAAAGATAGAAAGCGAGAAATCACCCCCCAGGGGGGATGGTCACGCCGCAATCCCTTCTCCTCCATTCTCCTCTCGGGATCTTGAGCACGCATGCACACGTGCCTGGCGTGAGTTTAAGTCACCGGGTCCGGGACGCAAACCGCGGTCGACTACGTGGGAGTCCAGCGACATAGCCATTACGCTAACTGCCGGTCCCTCTTTTGAAATTTCTTACATTTACAAAAATTATTGCCAGAGGGTGTGTGTGTTTACCAGAGCCAGAGAGAGGAGACAGAGAGAGAGACAGAGAGAGAACACACCTCAAGTGGGGCATGGTCATGCCACATCCCCTTTCCTCCATTCCTCCATTCCATCTGGATTTTGGTTGTGCATACATATGTGCCTGGCGTGTTTTTCAAGCCAGTGGGGTTGGGATTTGAACCATGGTTGGCCATGTGAGATCCAGCTTCCTACACTCCTCTTAACTACTGTACTATGGGGCCAGCCCCGAAATTCCTTGCGTTCTTGTTTGTGGTCTGAGATAGAATATGTTTTGTAAATATTCCACGGCTAATTTGGTATTACTTAGTTCTGACTGGTGGTTTGTCTCATTCCTGTGTTAGCTTTTATTTAAAGAAACCACCCTGGCACAGTTAAGAGTGTTTAGAAATCTCCTAGTCTCAGGTGGTTTCTTGCTGAGAGCAGCCTAAGGGCTAGGCTGTATTATCTGGGTAAGAATGGGGTGAAGACAAGAAGAAATTCCATGCCAGAAGATCCTCTGTACTAGGCCACTCCTGAAATTAGGGACACACAGCATCATGGATAGCCTCTGGTAGAAGTTCTTGTTTGATCTTGGGCCATCTGTCACCATCTGGTAGACTTGGATGTTTTAGGAATTTTAGCCTCAAACATTTCTGCTGTTTATCTAAATCGTTGGGGTCTGGTCATGCCGCTGTGTCTTGGCTGTTATCTCACTGACATCTTAAACATGACTGCTTTTTCCCTAAAAGGAACGTGAATAAGCTAACAGGTAGATGTGTTCCTCTCCTCTCTGTCTGCATTTCTTCTTTTCTTTTGCTAGAGGGCATCTGTGCCCACCAGAGAGACAGAGAGAGACAGAGAGAGAGAGAGAGAGAGAGAGAGAGAGGGAGGGAGAGGGCGAGAGGGCGAGAGGGGGAGAGGGAATGGTCATGCTGCAATCCTTTCTCCTATCTCACCCTCCTTTCTGGATTTTGGGCATGCATATACACGCACATGTGCCCGATGTGTTTCTCAAGCCACGCGCTTGGCCATGTGGGATCCAGCTGCCTTAACTACCAGGCTGCAGAGCTAGCTCCTCCATTTGCTTTGGTTCTTCTTCTTCTTCTTTTTTTTTTTGCTATAGGGTATGTGCACTTGCTGGAAAGGGAGAGAGAGACAGAGAAAGGGAAAGTGAGAAATCACCCCCTGGGGATGGCCACACTGCAATCCCTTCTCCAGTCTCCTCTGGGAACTTTGGGCACACACACATGTGCCTAGTATAATTTTTAAGCTTCCAGGTCTGGGACTTGAACAGCAGTAAGTATATCGCCTTAACCTCCATACCACATGCTGGTCCCTTCATTTGCTTTTTAAATTTTTTAAATTTAATTTTTATTTATTCACTCATTTATTTTAATTTGACCAGAGAGAGAGAGACACAGAGAGAGAGAAGAAAGAAAGCCACCAGGTCTGGAACTTGAACCGTGACTGGCCATGTGGGAGTGTCCAGTGCCTTAACCACCATGCCACCTGCTGTCCCCCACTTTTTAAATTTTTATGAAATTTATTTAAAGAAAAAGAAAGAGAGAGAGGGAGGGAGGAAGGGAGTCCGGCATCTCCAACAGGATCCTCATGCTGTGATCCACTCCAGTCTCAGCAGCCTGGAATCTTGGCTATAGGGTATGTGCACTTGCTGGAAAGGGAGAGAGAGACAGAGAAAGGGAAAGTGAGAAATCACCCCCTGGGGATGGCCACACTGCAATCCCTTCTCCAGTCTCCTCTGGGAACTTTGGGCACACACACATGTGCCTAGTATAATTTTTAAGCTTCCAGGTCTGGGACTTGAACAGCAGTAAGTATATCGCCTTAACCTCCATACCACATGCTGGTCCCTTCATTTGCTTTTTAAATTTTTTAAATTTAATTTTTATTTATTCACTCATTTATTTTAATTTGACCAGAGAGAGAGAGACACAGAGAGAGAGAAGAAAGAAAGCCACCAGGTCTGGAACTTGAACCGTGACTGGCCATGTGGGAGTGTCCAGTGCCTTAACCACCATGCCACCTGCTGTCCCCCACTTTTTAAATTTTTATGAAATTTATTTAAAGAAAAAGAAAGAGAGAGAGGGAGGGAGGAAGGGAGTCCGGCATCTCCAACAGGATCCTCATGCTGTGATCCACTCCAGTCTCAGCAGCCTGGAATCTTGGGCGTGCACACACAGGCTCTGCGGGCTTAGAGAGGCCTCGGGACATGAACCCAGGACCATTCCCATGTGGGCACAGTTACTGCCGTGCCACCACCTGGCCCCTCCATTTGCCTTTTGAACTGTAGTGAATAGGACTGCAGGTTCCTTCGTCCACTCAGTCAGTACAAATGTATCGAGTGTCTGTACTGTCGGGCAATGACACTGGCAAATGACATCATCCCGATCCTTCGGCAGCTCATTCGTAATGCGAAACTGAGAGACAGAGCTGAAATAAAATACAGTGACAAATTAACATGATTGTATGGAGGTACAAGCATTAGATTAGCACAAAGGAAGATGATGGAATTTTCCTTAAGAATGAAGAATGGGGAAGATGTCAGAGAGAAGGTGACTTTTTTCTTTCTCTCTCTCTCTCTCTTTTTTTTTTTTTTTTTTTTTTTAAGACTTTTACCATAGGGTACTTGTTGGAGAGAGACAGAGAGACAAAATGAGAGATCACCCACCAATGGGATGACCATGCTGCAATCCTCTTCTTTATTCTCCTGTCGGGATTTTGGGCACGCATGCACACATGCTAGGCATGATATTCAATCCCCAGGGTCCAGGACCTGAACCAGGCAGTGGGCCTGGTGGGGTCTGGCCTTTACCACCACACCACCTGCTGGTTCAAGGAGGTGACATTTAAGCTGGGCTTTGACATGTGAATAGATGCTAGCCAGATAGAGAAGGAGGCGTAGGTAGCCCAAGTCGAGGGAAGGTCATGACTGTGGCAGAGAAGTGTGACAGGACAGTCTGCCTCCAGGGTGCCGTGTGGCTGTGGCTTGGCAACGGTGCAGCTGGAGGAGTTAAACCGCAGACAGACTGTGAAGGGCGTTGCTTGTCATGCAGAAGAATTTGCATTTTATTCTATGGACAATGAGTAGTGGCTGAAGGGTTATTTATTTATTTACTATTTTTTTTTAAGTTGTTTATTTCTTCTGTGAGTGAGAGTGACAGAGAAAGAGGGGGGAGAGACAGAGACAGAGAACAACGGCAGCCCCAACTGTCTTGATGCTGTGATCCACCTCTAGCCCCCGCTGCCTTGACCATGGGCGTCTGGCATACTCAGGGAGGCTCCCAGATACGAACCCAGAACTTTCCCGTATGAGTCAACCGCACAGAGTATCGCATTTTATCATTGCACCACTGTCCAACCCCTGTCGAAGATTCTGAGGCATGGGATTAGGTTTGTCTTGATTTATTTAGGTTCTCCTTTATAAATGTCCACTAACTGGGGCCAACAGGTGGCGTGGCGGTTAAGGGCACTGGACTCCCACATGGCTGCCCATGGTTTGAGACCCAGATCTGGCTGTTTGCTTTCTCACTTTCCCTCTCCCTCTCTTTCTCTCTTACTGTGTTCCTCTCTGGTCAAATAAAAATCAAAATAAATCAATGAAGCTAAATAAAATAAAACTTTTAAAAAATTATTAATTTAATTTAATTTATTTATTCATTTATTTTAATTTGACCAGAGAGAGAGAGGGAAAGTGAGAAAGCAAGCTG